TTTGCAGTTCTGGATAACACAACCTTTACATTTAACAAATAATTCAGTTCAGTCTCTTTGGAGGAGTAAATACCCTCTCCCCTCTCCAGCCTCACCCCTTATGGTTTTGCTTTTTTGTGTTGAGACAAGGTGCCCGTGTCTTCAGATCCTGGTTCACTCTATTCTGGACAAGATTTCCCCCAGACTGAACTCCTCTTATGAACTACTGTTTGAATAAAGGAGACATTCAGGAAAATGGGGCACTCAAAGGTACACAGTCCCACCACGATGGAAACTTCATGGCAAGTTACTCAGTGGTGGGATGCAGAATCAGTGGGGAGACATTCTCCTTCTTTCTTTTTTCTTTTTCCTCCCTTTTTTCTTTTTCCTCCCTTTTTTCTTTTTCCTCCCTTTTTTCTTTTTCCTCCCTTTTTTCTTTTTCCTCCCTTTTTTCTTTTTCCTCCCTTTTTTCTTTTTCCTCCCTTTTTTCTTTTTCCTCCCTTTTTTCTTTTTCCTCCCTTTTTTCTTTTTCCTCCCTTTTTTCTTTTTCCTCCCTTTTTTCTTTTTCCTCCCTTTTTTCTTTTTCCTCCCTTTTTTCTTTTTCCTCCCTTTTTTCTTTTTCCTCCCTTTTTTCTTTTTCCTCCCTTTTTTCTTTTTCCTCCCTTTTTTCTTTTTCCTCCCTTTTTTCTTTTTCCTCCCTTTTTTCTTTTTCCTCCCTTTTTTCTTTTTCCTCCCTTTTTTCTTTTTCCTCCCTTTTTTCTTTTTCCTCCCTTTTTTCTTTTTCCTCCCTTTTTTCTTTTTCCTCCCTTTTTTCTTTTTCCTCCCCTTTCTCTTTTTCCTCCCCTTTCTCTTTTTCCTCCCCTTTCTCTTTTTCCTCCCCTTTCTCTTTTTCCTCCCCTTTCTCTTTTTCCTCCCCTTTCTCTTTTTCCTCCCCTTTCTCTTTTTCCTCCCCTTTCTCTTTTTCCTCCCCTTTCTCTTTTTCCTCCCCTTTCTCTTTTTCCTCCCCTTTCTCTTTTTCCTCCCCTTTCTCTTTTTCCTCCCCTTTCTCTTTTTCCTCCCCTTTCTCTTTTTCCTCCCCTTTCTCTTTTTCCTCCCCTTTCTCTTTTTCCTCCCCTTTCTCTTTTTCCTCCCCTTTCTCTTTTTCCTCCCCTTTCTCTTTTTCCTCCCCTTTCTCTTTTTCCTCCCCTTTCTCTTTTTCCTCCCCTTTCTCTTTTTCCTCCCCTTTCTCTTTTTCCTCCCCTTTCTCTTTTTCCTCCCCTTTCTCTTTTTCCTCCCCTTTCTCTTTTTCCTCCCCTTTCTCTTTTTCCTCCCCTTTCTCTTTTTCCTCCCCTTTCTCTTTTTCCTTTTTTTCCCTAATATAGTAACCCTAAATATTTTCTGCCCTTTGTTTTGCCCTCAAAATGAGGGCATGGAGACACATTTTGACAGAGAGAGATTGTTTTTCTCCAAGGCTCTTCGTGGGGAGGGTGTCCCTTTGTGGATGGCTAATGGCCGCTGAGCTCAGCTGGAGCTGTAGCTCTGACTGACTCGCGCTGTTCGCCCCTGTGCTGCAGGAGACAGATGCACATCGACGGTTCAGACCCGAAGGGGCTGGCTGAGAGTCTCGCAGGTAACTCCGAGATAAATTAATTACTCAGCTCACCCCAGCACCTTGCACTGGTGACCCATCATCTGCGATGGGGCTTTTCTCCTGTCAGGCAGCTCCAGTTCACCCTGCATCTGGTCCTTAGCATCTCCGGGGAAGGGGATGGTGGCCATTTTAGTCCTCTTTTTGAAAGTTCAGAATAAGCTCGGCGTGACAGAAGGCTTCCTGCTGCACTGGTGGTGGGGCTGCCCAAGGCTTTTAGGATGAGAAGCTGCCTGCCCACAAGACAACCTCTCAGGGAAGCACAGATTTGACCCTTGCTGTCACTGTTTCCCTCGCAGGAGGTGATAAACTGAGGGTGGTGACAGTGGGGAAGCTGGCTCCCTCTCACCAAAAAGAGACTGCAGGTGATGACGGTGTGCAGGCAGGGAGGAGGGTTGTTTGGATTGCGCTGCTGGGCCACGACTCGCCCTTCACCCCCAGGGGAAGGAAAGCTGCTTCTTCCCTGCCCTAGTCCTCTGAGGACTATTTCGGGGATTTTTCCTCTCTTCTACTCTTCCCTCCATGAAGGTTGAGCGGAGGAAACAACACTGATGTTTATTTCCTAGTGATCTTTCTTCATGGTGGCAGGGAAGGAAACACGTTTGAGGCACAAAGCTTCCAAGAAGCTGGCAATCACTGAGCTTTGTCTTTCTTTGTGGTCCCTCTGCTGGTAGTGCTTCAGGACCTCAGTAAATTTCTGGATGACACCAAGCTGAGTGGGGCAGTTGTTATGCTTGAGGAAAGGGATGCCATCCAGAGGGACTTATCAGGATCTCAAGGCCTGAGGAAGGGGCCCATGTGAACCTCACAAAGTTCCAACAAGGCCAAGTGCAGGGTCCTGCACCTGGGTCAGGGCAACCCCTGGTACCAATACATGCTGGGAGATGAAGGGATTGAGAGCAACTCTGCCAAGAAGGACTTGGGGGTACTAGTGGATGAAAAGCTGGACATGAGCTGGCAATGTGGACTCCCAGCCCAGAAAGCCACCGTATCCTGGGCTGCATCAAAAGAAGCGTGGCCAGCAGGTCGAGGGAGGTGGTTGTCCCCTTTTTCTCCACTCTTGGGAGATCCCACCTGAGGTACTGCATCCAGCTCTGGGTCTCTAACACAGGAAAGACATGGACCAGGAAAGATATGTCCAGAGGAGGGACACAAAGGTAATCAGAGGACTGGAACACCTCTCCTGTGAAGCCAGGATAGGAGTGTTGGGGTCATTCAGCTTGGAGAAGAGAAGGCTCCAAGGCTACCTTATTGTGGCCTTTCAACATATAAAGAGGGCTGATAAGAAATATGGAGACGTTTCACCAGAGACTCTAGTGACAGGATGAGGGGTAATGCTTTCAAACTAAAAGAGGGCAGATTTAGATTAGATACATGGAATAAACTGAGGTTTGAAACACAAGGGGATGGTGAGTGCAGCTGGATGAGGAGCTGAGAGAAAGCGACTGGGACCTACTGGATGCTCAGGGCAGCAAGTCCCCAGGAGTCCCCAGCTGAGCACCTGTAACTAGCAGCCACTTCTTGACTCTTCCCACAAAATGCATATTGTTGCTCCTGTTATCTAGAAAGGGACCCAAAATGGATTGACTGTGGTGAACCCAAGTGTCCGAGGGAGAAACACTACAGCAACAGTGCAGAGGGAAACTCTGCGTACCTTTCTCTAAAGACTTTGTAAGAACTGAGGCCTTTACCACACACAGATGGAAAAAGGAAAGCGAATCGATGTTCCCAGAGGGCTGTTGCTATTGCACAGGGGCGGGAGGCAAGCATTTGAAAATGAAGGGGGCAGAGTAAGAAGCTGAGATTAAAATTCCTATTCCGCATGTATTTAAGGACTAACTTAAGATTTATACATTCTTATCTGCAGCCTTTTCTAATCGTTCAAATGTGTCACTTGAAGGTGCTGCTTCTTGTTGTTTATATAAGGTAATAACAGCGTGTCATCACGTAAGTAAGCCTGCCTTCAAAACATGCAAGATGTTGAGGCAGCGCAGAAACAAACACGTAGGCAGAAATGCCTGAAGAAGTGGTTCGCTGTGGCTTTAGCTGCCTGCCAGACATCCCTGAAACAGACCTTCCAGCCGGGCACGGCGTACCAGGGAAGGCCTGGGTTTGGGAAAAGAGCTGGAAATGGAAGTTGTGGTTTCATGACTCTCACTGCCATGAGTCATGGCAAGTTTGGAAAAACTCTTCGCTCGTGCCTCCTCACAGGCGTAATAACGCTATGAAGGTGGCCGATGCTCAAAGTGTTAAAGAGATGCTTAAGGTATGATATATATGATAAATACTTATTGTAAAGGCTCATGTAATCACTTCTAATCAGAACCATAACGTTTTCTTATTTGGCTTATTTTACCTCAGACATAATCCTTTGAGATCTAGTCATTGTATACTTTATACATATGCACATAAACTCTACTATGGTTCAAAAGAGCCTCATCTGGGCAATGACTTTAAGCCAGACAGAACTGAAAAGAGTGAGCACAGCCAGAATCAAAATTGCCTCTTCCCCCTCCTCAAGCTGACAAATCTTATGTACTTCAAGAGCAGCCTTTTTTTCTCGCTCCCTCATCTATGAAGAGCAGTGATCTATTTCATCTGTCTCAAACAAAGGACTCCTAAAAGATGTTCTCTTAAATTTATTTTCTCAACCCTGGGGGCATACAATTACTGCTGTTCACTCATGCTTTGCGCGTTGAGGTATTGGAAGGACGCATCTACTTTCTGTCATTGTTACAGCATTCCCATGGAAAACTCCAGGGCAGCCAGCGTGTTCCCGACCTGGGCTCTACCCATCGCCAGCTGTGGAGTCAACTAAGCCAAACCTTGTTTAGGTGGTTACAGAAGCAAGTGGTATCTTTTCTAAGCTGACCGATGTGCTGCCCTTTAGGTTCTGATCTGCGCTCAGTGAGACGGGGAAACGAAGCAGGGAACTGGAGGAGGACCCAGATGCTGCCTTTGAAATTGCAGCTAGTTCCTCCCAGCAGCATTCCTCAGGGAGCACATGATGGGCATGTGTCAACCCCCGTGACTCAAAAGATGAAACGCTCCACTAGCCCAAGCGGAACGGGTCACAACTGGAGCTTTGGTGTGGTGATTCAGAAAAGCACTGGAGTGTCCTTTGCTTGGCGAGCCGTGTGGCACAAGGCAACAGGATGCACGGACAGGCCCAGGGCCTGCTGAAGGCTGCCCATCCCAGCCAGGGATTCAAGGCCTCATGTCACGGGAGAGGAGAGGAGAGGAAGCGGTTGTTAGTACAAAGTCCGGCAGCACCACAGCTGCAACCTCCAAACAGCTGACTGCTGTTGGGATTTGCTCCGTGCAGGATGAAAACATTACAATCAAACACATTTTTAAATGCAAGAGTCCAGCTTGAGAGACCGATGCAAAAAAGCCTTGTGAAAACATCTCAATGACAATTTTATTGCATCGTTATAGCAGAGCTGTTACATCTGGTGATCAATATACACTTCAGCACCTTGTGGGACAGTCACGTTGTGGACCGGTCACCTCTTCAGCACGCAAAGCCCAGTGTCCATCCCTTGCTGAAGCTCCTGCTCTCCGGCACAGTCCCAGAGCTGACTTCACACCAACGTGGCAAGAGCCTGGATGTTGTGGGAGCTTTCAGAGGTCCTGTGCACGGCACGGGGCTTTCTGATGCTTCTGTCTCTAATGCTGCTTTTGGGGCTGTGCTGAGCCTTGGCCGCGTGGCTCTGGAAGGCCTGGACGGTTCGGATAGCCAGGATGCAGACCACGAAGCTGGCAAAGTACAAGCAGGCAGCGGCCACACCGAAAAGGCCGACGGCCGCGTCGCCGCCCTGGACCACGCAGTTCATGGAGGTGTAACCCCGGCGGGCGTACAGCCTCTCGCGCCTCTTGCACACCTCCGTGGAGTTCACCCGGCTGACAAAATGCAGGTAGAGGCCAACGGCCGCGACGTACAACACGCCGGCCAGCAGGTTGAAGGCGCACTCGCCCGCCAGCAGCCCGACCCTGAGCTGCTGGATGGGTTTTGCCCCCACGACGAGGAAGACGAGGGTGAGCGCGGCTGCTGTTAAGCTGAAGGCCACGCCGCCGTACACGCAAGGGGCTCTCATCTGGGTGAACTGCATGTCCAGCTCCCGCACCTCCCGCAGCTCCGTGCCCTCAAAGGGGCTATAGGCTGAATTCAGGTTGAAGGACCCAAAGCCGCCGAGGGAGGTGAAACCTGCGACAGAGGCCTGGGCAGCGCCCACACAGATCAGCACCAGGAGGTTAACCGTGATTTCCACAAACTTCAAAATGCCTGCGAGGAGCAGAAAGATGGGAAAAGCTGTTAAAATCACATCTTGGGCAAACTGGGGGTGACAGAAGTACACCACGACCATAGCCGGAGAGCACTATCACTGAGACAGTCCTCCTGGCTACAGCTACAGAAGAGCATGGCTTCATATATATATATATATTAAAAAAAAAAAACACGAAGCACGAGCTCTCGTGGGTACATTTCAGAGGTTGGGCAAATTACTTTTTTTAATTTGTCAGTGTGCTTGATAAATGGGTCTTCATGCGGAGAAAGAAATCCATAAAAATTTTACTTTGCTTGTGCGGTTGCCAAGGCAAGTGCACAGTGATTGTATTTTGGCCTGTAACTACTTGGCATAAACACACCGAGCAAGAAATATCCAGTATGAACAAAATCCTGAGGTTAAAGCTGACAAAAACCTAGAAGCTTCTAACGGCTTAAAATATTGTGCAAGTTATTTAGGTCCTTTAAAATGTGTTTACTGCTTTAACTTACACCCTTTTTTTTTTTTTGTCTTTCTAAGTGTTTGTTAATTTAAACTTATTATCTAACCAGATGTGACTTTCACTTCATCACCTTCAGAGATAAAAATCTCTTCATAAATCTGAAGCAGAAGTCCCTGACTGCACAGAAAACAGGAGGAGGGGAAGGAGACAAAAATCACCTTATATGCAGAGGTAAATTCAGTGAATTTTATACTGGTTTGCATGTTCCATGCTCCTTGTTCAGAAGCAAGCCTATGACTTCTGAGCTCTTCTCTTCTTTTTCTTACATTACACTACTGATAAAGATGACCAAGGTTTTTTAAGAAAAAAAGAGAAAAAAAGTGGATAAATGACTTCTTTTTGTGGTAGTTGCCTTTCAGGAGAGGTGCAGCATCTGTTAGATAAATCTGATTATTCTGTGACAGCTCACTAGGGGTCAGACTAAGATTAGTAAACATGACGGATGTTGAAGCCCAGCCTAGCTAGAGCTGCCTATTTGGGAAATAAAAACCCCTAGCGTATCACGCGTGTTGCTCCTCAAGTTCTGAAGCTAATTACAGGATTGTGAATCTTATTATTCCATTGCAGTCTGACAGCCAAGACCATAAGATGCGACACAGTGGTCTTGTATTTGTCTTTAAAGTAGGGCAGGCTCTGTGGTTTGCATAGAGACTTTCATTTTATGCTGCTAACATTGATCAGCACAGCGTTTTCCTCTTGAGCTGCTGTCAAGGCTGCATGGGCTGGAGAAGAATGGGCTGCAGCAGCACACAAGGGAATTAGACAAATTCCTCTCTTGTGCTGCCAGATGCTTCTAACAAAAGCAAGCCAGTGACAGCCACCATGAAGGATGATCGGATATTCCCGTTCTGGCCCTTCTTATTCCCTCCAGAGGGCTGAGGTAATGAGCACCTTCCTGCTGCCACTTGTCCTTCACAGGAAGGTGCTTGGAATGGTTTGACAAGGGACTTCAGGAGTTCCCGCTTCCCCCTGTACCCAGACTGGTCCCCTCGTGTCTGCCAATGCAGCTGTAGGGAGCTACTGAGCCCATTGACATCATGGCCTTGCAAACCACCCCAGAAGCACAAAGGAGAGCAGTGACAATGGCGGTGACACCTGGGAACAGAACACCTGAGGCTCAGCGTGTTTCTGTGTGTGTGTGTGTGCATATACACACAAGTGCACACTTATACAGATCTCACGTCCTAAAAATAATTAGGTAGAGCAGGCAGAGAAGACAAAATGCTCTTGTTGAGGAAGAACTAAGCGTGCAGTTCTATGTAAGTGTTCTTCAGAGGTGACGCTGATTTCTGCCTGACAACATGCCTTTTCCTTGACCCATCCGCACAACCCTTTCTGTGAAGCAGGGCAATAACCACACCGGTTACCAAATCTGTTCAGGAGGCTTCAAATATTTCAAAGGAAATATTTGTGAAGCAGAACATAAAGAGAAGGTTAAGTCTTGGTCCATGGGACAGTATTTGCAACTCCTAGTATCAGATTCAAACAATGCAGCCAAGCGACCCAATGTTTTTAATGGGTACAGAGCCATCACTGTTCAAAATATTTTGAAAGAGTAATAGCTGTACAGGACACTCACTGGAACTCCGTCAGATATTTTTTGTCTGCTCAGTTGAGCTCTACAATATGCCTTCCAAATACAGGGAGTCAACTTAGGTCCTCAGGGCCCTTGGACCCTGGGTTGGACGCAGAAGGCCACTTCCCTTTTTAAGGGCTGACTACGGATTTCATAGATGCTCCATCAGGAAGTGGTTCTTACAAGTCTACAGGGAGGAAAGACCATTTGATTAAGGGAAACATAAATTTTTAATATGTTTGGGAACTTGAAAGTTGGGAATTCATGACCAGTAAGATGTCTTCAGAATTTCCTTTTCATCTACGACTGGTGGGGCACTCTGACCCACCGGGCACCAACTTTTCCTGTACATCACATATACAGGAGCTTTAGGAAGGGCAATTTTCTGGTTGTCAGCACCTGCTGCGAACCTCTCTGCGTTTATAACTGACCTCAATCCTCACTGATGCTACTCCAAAACTTCCTATGTATTCACACAAATTCTGTATGCAACCCCTTAACCTCACTGAGCTGATTGCTGGTACCACAGTAGGGCTGGCAGAATGTGTCTCTTTGCTCATGGGATGACAAATATGATCAATGTAGGCTTCCTGTATTTTTAATTGCAGCAGTAGATACATTGAAAAACATGCATGCTTGAAAAACTTCCTTAGACAGGACATTCAGGTTGGACAGGTTTTGTATGTACCAGTACAGTTTTCGCACACGCCTGCTGTAGAATTGAGTAAGGAAACAATGGAGAGAGGTTCATTAGCAGTTACTCCACCAGCTATTCGCACCACGTGGATAAGCTTTGTTTAAACAGAAGTGCAATAACAAAGCCTCCTGCATTAAAGAAAATCCTAAAATGATAATCAGTCTGCAGAACCAAGCTGTGAGTTGCAGGTCTACGATGAGAGCCAGCAGGGTTTGTGAAAGTAGCAGACAATTAGAGGAAATCCCTAAGGCCTTGTACAATCATCAGGGCTTTGATGGAAACATTACGCCCTGTAACTGTGTTCAGATCTGACCTGAGCACCCCAAAAGCCTTATGCGACCTTGATCTGTGATAGTTACAAGCCTGATACCCAATCCTACTGTATTAGTATAAAAAGGATGGACAGATGAAAAATAAGGGATAAAAGGACATTTATGATTTGGACCTTGGCTCTGCCTAGGTATGCTAACACACACATACACCTGCAGTGACCTGTGTCAAGCAGCGTACTGCTGGCAGAAAGGGCTGAGTTAAAAGCCACATTTCTGAGTCTGTGCGGCCATCCCCGCTTTCACAGCCCGGTTAGCTACGTCATCTTAAAATTACAGCTGCAGAAACTAGACGCCAAAAGGTCTTCCCAAGTGGAAGTTACTTATCTCTACAGTTATTCCCAAATCCCATGCAACAATGAACGCATTGCAAGATTTGACTGTAAAATGACAGGAGGTCTGAAAATCCCAGGACTCCACTGGTTTGATTCCTTTCTCAAGTTTGAAATCTTGGGACCTATCTAAAATGCTACTGATTTGTATTAAAATTATGACAGTGCACAGTTGGCTCTGGAAACTGACCCTCTCCTTACTAAGCAAGTAATGAGACTAAAGTCTGAGCTCGTGAATTTCCATCTGCTTTCCCATACTTCCTTCCCGCACCTCTTTTTGGTGCTGATGGTGAGCAGAACAGCTGCAACTTAAAAGACAGTGGGTTGCCAGAGCTTTCCAGGGAATTGTTTCCATAAAAATCTAAATCTGCAACGGATAGTAACTTCTATGTTAGCTGCTAGTTACTAGTACTTGCTAACTTTATTTCAACCTGATCTTTTTTGCCGTGAGTAGGCTTCCTGCTATAACAACCAGCAGCCTTCCAATTTATACTGCTAAACTGCTATTCACTTTTTCTTTCCCTTCTACTCCAGGCGCACACTGGGCTATTCCCATGGTGTTAACCCACTGAGCAATGGTTTTGTCTTCTCTCAAAAAATGGTTTTGTCTTTTTGGGCTCCAATGTCCGGTGAAGCAGCCAGGTGGGCTGTTAGGAGCACAGGTCCACAGGCAGCTGCCCTTACTCTAACAGTTCCTACACCTGGCTGGGCAGTCATCACTTTTCTCACCTGCCCAGTAATAACTCCAGCCTAGCATTACAACCTTCCAAGAGCTGTTTTAATAAATTAAAATAGCAGGAAACTATTCAACTCTTTTTTTTTTTCTTTTTGTGTGTGCGCGCTGCTGTTTTTTCCTGCAACTTTAGCAACTTGAAGTGACTCACAGAGTATGTGATGAGCAATCGTGCTGGCATGAGTTTAGCAGGGAAAACAAAACAGCCTGGACCAGAGAGGGACCAGAAACTCTCCTGTTCAGGTGAGATGAGCCGTTAAATCTGCACACTCTGCCTCATAAAACTACACTGTGGCTGACTGTGTGGTACCCAGTAACTCAACTGAGTGTTCCAGTCTGGTGCGTTGGAAGGCAGGAGGAAGCTTTTTCATCCAGGCAGTGCAGTGGGATGGCCCCGGTGTTCAGGTGTCAGGGTGACAGTGTGTGTACCTACGTGTCTACATAACACACAACGGTTAAATCTTGTTTGTTCCTACGTTTCTGAGGCTGACAAGAATCAATCTGTAGGACAGTCAGTTCTGGCTGTTTCTGCTGAACTCGCCCTGACCCTACGAGGGCCTGACTAATAGAAGCAGCCTTCAGAGTGTCTCCCTCCACTGCCTCTTGGCACAGCAGTTACTTTTTTCCTCCCTTGACTGCACATGGACTCTTTCTCCTGTCTCTTTTGCTATCATTCTTTCTTCTTAACATCCCTGTGTACTTCTAAGATATTTTATCTTTGGCTTTCTCCATTGTAGCTCACTTTCTCCCTCTGCTTCCTTTGCAGGCCAGGTACCAGTGGGACCCAGCTGGCAGCCCCAGATGTGCCCCACTGCCCCTCTCAGACA